GGCCCTCATATTCAAATTTAGGCACCCTGAGCCCTCAGGGTTCACCCTATGAAAAGCGTGCACCCCTCAGGGTTTGAGCGCTATGCACACCCTGTTTACATAGGGCATCTTCAATACCAGACCCTGAGCTATCAGGGCACTTTTCAAAGTGCAGATTTTTCGTTACAACCAACCTCTCACAATGTTTATTATGAAACGTACACTACACACAGTATGACAGAGTAGTACCTACCACATCGTTCATTGCAGTTCAGGTACATCAGATTAGAAATTTCCTTCGTCATCAGAGCTAAACCCACAGCTAATGTCATCATCATCCTCTGGCTCACCATCCTCCTCTCTCTCATTATGTGACAAATGCACTTGCTTCTCCTTGCCCTTGTTGCTCCTTGGGCGGACACGGGACTGCTCCTTCTTCTTGCTGGGCCGTCGCTTCTTGGTTTTGCGCCACAGGTCAACAACCACGTCCCAATCCATTTCATAGTCTAGCATGCTCATGCACATGAGATCCGATAGCTTGCCATTGCAGAGACTGGAGCGTTGCCAACTTTTGATCACGTTTTGTCTGCTGAAACCTCGCTCACATTCGACGGTGCTGATGGGGAGGACAGCGACAGCCACCCACAGGCGAACCAAGTTGGGGTAGCACTTGGGCCAATCACTAGTCTGAAGCATGGCCGCCAGGCCATCATGAAAGCTGCGCTCTCCACGTGGAGCCCCTTGAAGCACGGGCACCATGGTCTTCAGCTCTTTCCTTGCTGCTCTCTTGTCCACTCCTGCCACGCACACAGCACAAGAGCAGCAAGCCTGGCAGCAAGCACAAAGCCCGGCAGCAAGCCTGGCAGAGAGCACAAAGCCCGGCAGCAAGCCTGGCAGCAAGCACAAAGCCCGGCAGCAAGGTGAGGCATACCTGGCAGCACTCCTCTTTTGTCGCCCACGAGGAACATGCCGATGACCGACTCGAAGTGCTCTGCGCACAACTCATCCCACGCCTCTGTGTTCCGGGGCCAAGTATCAAGCATCCACAGCCTCACTCCGTTCAAGTTGTCGAGGTCGCCGAGTCTCTGCCCCAAGCTGTCGACCGTTGCCTTCGCGAACACTCTGCAAGGGTCAAAGCAGGACTCCAAATCCCCCGGGATCTCGCTGTAGCCCGGAAGCTCCTTCTCGTGCAACTTGAACTGGTGCACTCGCGGCCGGCCTCCCTTGTCAACTCCCTCCATTGTCACCTTGCGACTGTTGGTCGCACCATGTTGTGAGAGAAACTTGGCCAGGCGCTTGCTCCCATCACCCCCAAAACGCTCGCCACATGTGATGTAGCGCTGGTGGATGTAGACGCAGGTGCGTCGGACTAGAGACCCCACTCCTGTGAGGTCCACATGAGTGGAAGGGTGGAAGATAGGAAAAAACAGGGGGAGCAGTGAATAATATTTCCAAAAACTTCAACACATATGTACATGGCAGCGGCCTACCTCTCGAGCCTGGAATGCCAAGTTGAGGTTGTTCAGCTCCTCAAGAATATCTGCTAGGAAGAACAATTACACCTGAAATTTGAGAGATATAACCATGTGGTACATCTCGGCGTCATATTCTAGGAGGAGGACAACCACAGCAGGCAGCACTTCAACGAGCCTAAGCACAGCCATGCCGCGGCTGAGCAACCTAACAAGGCGGATGCCTTGGAGCTCTAGGTTCGTCATCGAGAAGATCGCCTGCAGCTCCTTAAACAGCATGTGCCAGTTGTGCGACCTCCCCAGCAGCTCGGCGACGGTCCTCAGGATGAGGTTCATGATGCCAAGCTTCGGTGCGGCGGTGTTCTTTGCAGCTAGGGCCTCCCTAACCAAGCGAAACAACAAATACATAATCAGCAATGCGAAAGGAACAACGGAACAAAGAAGGGATAATGAAAAAATAAAAGCAACAATGGAACAATGAAGGGACAATGAAGCAATAAGGCAACAATGGAACAATGAATGGACAATGGAACAATTAACAGACAATGAAGCAATGAAATGCGCAACGAACTTACCGATGGGCGATGCAGTGAAAGGAGACAAGATGAGGCAGGCGAAGACAAAGTCGCGCGACCAAACTGCCCGTGGTGCCCATCATGACCGCGGCTCCGTCAGTGCTGATTCCCGCGACTTTGTTCAGATCCAATCCGATGCTCTCTAGATGAGCTAGGAGCACTGCATGAGGGACGCAACATCACATTTCTCGACAGGCAACACTGCAAGGAACTCAGTGACCACTCACCGTTCACGAATGAAAGTAGCGAATACAATCATGTGCTTGCCGCGGACTCTGTCAGTGCTCTCATCACAGCTGAGCCCGATGAATGGACTCGACTGCAAGTACTCGCGCTGCCTTGCACGCAAGTATGTCGCTGCGGACGTGGTGAGCTCCTGGAAGCCGTACCTGGAACAAAATGAGAAGTGAGAATAAGAGAGTGGTGAGCTCCTAGAAGCCGTTCACGCAACAAGATAAGATGAGTATACAAGAGAGTGCTGAGATCCTAGATGCTATACAAAGACGAAAACAATACGCTTGCATGAAATGGACGGTGGGGTTACCAACAGCAGTACTCACGTTGTGAAATAGGAACCATATCCCTTCTTCAGTGCACAGCTCCGCCCAGATCTCAATCGGCGCATCTGACTAGCAAATGAACAGAAGCGTCTCCAGGAGCGCGATGACCCGTTCCTTCACGATGTCATACGCCGACGGACAGTCCTGGACTCATTGCTGCCCCTTCGTCAGCTTCTCCGCGATGGCCTGATTCCGCACCGCTCGCTTGTGCTTCTTGGTGCGCTGGTGATTCCGAAACGTTTGCGTAAGAACATCAACTGCTCCTTCACCCCCGTGACCGTAGTTAGTTCTGGGCCATGCATAGCGCATGCACACACTGCATCTCACAGAGGGGAACCCGACCTTAGTCTGATAATGCACAAGCCATGGGAAGTCCGAGGACCATTCCTTCTTAAACCGGAAGAGCGCATCCTGGTACTTGTTCTCCGCCTCGTCGACGATGGGCATTGAGTCTGAAGATGCGGCAGGGAAAGAGGGCCCAGGATCGGCAGGCAGCATTACGGTTGACGTGGGAGGTGGTGCTACCCGCGTGCGGCCAAATCTGAGCGTGACTTGGCGGTACCGGGCACCGAGCAACTTCTTGGACGTGCTTGGACCCATGCGGGTGGCACCATGCGCCAATGATGCCACACTTGCTGCAGGAAGTGGCGCTGCTGGAATTGGCGCGGCACGGAATGGCGCTGCAGGAACTGGCGATGCAGGAACTGGCGCTGCAGGAACTGGTGCTGCAGGAACTAGCGCTGCAGGAACCGGCGGTGCAGGAACCGGTGGTGCAGGAACCGGCGGTGCAGGAACCGGCGGTGCTGGAACCGGCAGTGCTGGAACCGGCGGTGCTAGAACCGGTGCTGCTGGAACCGGCGCAGCTAGACTAGGCGGTGATGCTGCCAATGGGCTAGATGTCTCAACAGCACTCTCTGGCGGGGTGGAAGAGGCAGGCACAGCGTGGACTCGCCTCAGGAAATCTAAACCCGTCAGAGCGCGGGACCTAGAGGCAAGGGTGGGCTCAACAGGGGCCTGACTACAGCTGCCAACCATATCTGGCTCCGCCATGGCGATGGGCTGGCTGCAATGCCCAAACGCATGGGCGGTGCCAGTAACAGATCGACGAGGAGGAAAGGCATCGTTTCTCAGTTTGCCACTGACCTAAAATCACAGCAGTGTGAAGCTGGTTGTGAAAGAGATGTGTGGCTGGGAAGGGTGTTCCAGGTGCAGCAACGACGAAGTGTGGCTTGTACGCCGGTGCGAAGAGGGACGGAATTGGAAGGGGTATGCATGCACAATTCGTTCGACCAGTCGAAATTCCGTCCCTTGCTGCTAACAACCCGGCCTTTGCGGCTTGCGTGGTGCGCTGGATCACACTGATAGGTCTATCTAAGCTGAAATTGCGGGCAAGGGAGGCGTTGCACAAGTCTGAATGTTCTGGTGTGTATGGGCGGAAGTCCACTCCCTACCAGCGAAGCCCAAGAAACGCGCGTGAATCTGGGGATAAGCCTAGTATCATCCCCCGTCAGTACTGGAGGCCTGTATCAGGGCTGTCCCCGGTAATACCCTGAGGCCTCAGGGCTTGGCGGATCAGAACACTCTGAAATAGCAGGGCCCTATAGAACATACATCCGGACATTTCAGGCCAAACAAAAATGAATACTCTAAAATCTCAGGGCTCAAGAACAGACCACACCCTGAAAATCAGGCTTTCAGGGTGTTTTACCATGATATCTGAGGGCCTGATGTGTCTCCATTGTCTATACATAGTGTGCACTGCTGAAAATTAATGTTTTAGGTTTCAAGTGTTTTGCAGGTTTTATGTCCACCTATGTTTTAGGTCGGTGCCTTCATCCGCAATTTCGCGTTGACGCGAAATTTCCTTCCATGCTTCCAGCTGCTTGGGCAGTGCACCGTTGATCTGGAAAGTCTAGAAGCGGGTAATGCGATGTTTGACCTGCAGGCAGTAGTAAACACCCAGTAGTTACGCTTTCAGAACTTCGGTACAGACCTCAGCCTGAGCAGCCTCCCACCCCCACATTGAGTATATTATCCTCTTGGGTTGTATGTCACTTTGCTCATCGCTCGTTACAACCAGTACTCGAAAATAATGTTTGAAAAGTATTTTGCTCGAACATGAGACCAAACTTTGGGACAAGGATGATCAAAACAATAGCCCCCACTTGGCAGCGCATTCCGCCAAACCGTCATCCATGTCCGAGCCATGACGGCTGCAAATCGCCAAAGATGCTTCGGTTCGCATCGCAGCTACGCCTCGCCTGAGTCCGCCCAGGCCCACCCACCATTTCGGAACGATCGTGACCGTTCGCCAAACTCTTAGCCCCTGTCTGCTTGTTCGTCTCCCCTCTGCGTCCCTAAACGCTCCCCAAACAAAAAATTGCCGAATTCGCTGATCCTATCTTCCGATGAGGAAAATCTAAACACCACCTCATCTTGGACCAGTAGAATTTTACTGCTTTAGCAGTGTGATCCTTCGACTGCTCCTGCCAGCACTGTTGGAACACTATCGTTAGGACTCCTCGCCCTTGTTTACATATTATTAGGACTCTTTCGTCGTTCTATTCCGCCTCAGTCACATTTTGAAATGGCAGCTACCGTTCGCGTCGTTCCGCCATCCGAGGCGCAGCAGCTGGTCGAAGCTGGTCACGTCTTTCTCGATGTTAGGTGAGAACATTTGCGAAGCCGCCGTTCATAAGGCCGAGGGAAAACACTCCGACCGCTTACCCTGCGAGAGGCCCACCTCGCCCGAATGGTTGCGTGAAATGACAGCCCGCGATTTTTCTTTCGCCGCTTTTGGTCTCGTTGTGCCTTTCTATATATTTTTCCTTTCGGGCTCATGAGACGCGAGTGACGGCGCCTGTAAGGCCTTGGTGGAAAATCGGTTTCTAGAGTCGCCAAGCCTGGAACCGAGCAACAAAGTTTCGCGTTGCCTCGACGTTGCGTGCCTTCCCTCGTACTATTTTTTCACCCGCTTGCTCCTGTGCCGTGCAGAACACCCCAGGAATATGCGTCCGGGCACGTCCCGGGATCCGTCAACGTTCCGTTCATGCTCACCGGCTCTGACGGTAAGCCGTTCTCATCCGCGTCCATTCATGGCAGCGAACGATCTTGTGCATAGGACATTCTATGACGCCTGGCTTCATGCTAGCCGACACGCTGTGCTGCATTCTATAGAAAACATTTTCAAAAGCAAGCAGCCACTGGCCACTGGCTGCTTTCTCGGGTCTGGCAGATCTGAGATTGAGCATGCGGTTGATATCTTCCCGAATTGATGCAGAAAAAAAAGATCCTAATCACACATATCTAGATCTTTCTGGGACTAGAAGGGCTTAGTGTATGTGGAACCGTTGGATGATAGCCTCCAGATTTTTGCTGATGCATGCATGTTGTTCCAGGATCCATGGTTAAAAACTCGGAGTTCTTGGATCAAGTCAAGGCGAAGTATTCTTCTAGCACACCTCTTGTTCTGGTAGGGTTCTGTTTGTTTTTCTGCAGAATCTGTTCCATACACATCTCCTCTATGTTCGCTCCAAACTAGAGTGTACCTTTGCTCTCACCAGATTATCCTACCCATTTCCTCCATTTCTTATTCAGAGCTGTAGAAGTGGAAAGCGGTCGAACATGGCTGCCAACGTCCTCAGAGAAGTGGTGAGAATTGGGGAAACGGGTGCATTTGGCGTTAGGACAAAATAGTGGCTTGTGTGAGTAATATCATGTCCTGACGGCCACCATTGCCTCTTGGCAGGGCTTCACATCGCTTGCGGATATGGAGGGAGGGATGATGGCCTGGAAGGGCCCAATTGCTCGTTAGAAGGAAGTGACTATAATTGGCAAGTTGAGATAACGAACTTGGAATTGAAATTTTAGTGAGCACTATTTGATTGTGTGTTTGCAGCAGTTCTATTGATATTTCCAAATTCGCGCGCCTCGTCCCGATGCGCACCCTCTGTCCACCTCTTCCAGCCTTCGCCCTTGACACCGCCAGCTCCGCGCCGCAGCTGCATTTTCCAAGCCCATGCACAACAATTTTGCCCCATCATGCGATGCGACATTGCATTGCATTTGGCCAGCAATTCGCGCCTGCTGCGTCGCACGCCCCTCTCAGTTCCTGCTGCCAGCACCCACTTGCATTGAACCTGGTGCATCCAAAGCAGGGCTGGCACCTGCCAGTCAATGCGCATTTGTTTCCCTTCACTCGGTTGGCATTCTAAGCAGCCGAACAGAAGCTCTCACAGGCGCAGACGCAGCATTTGCTTCAGATTCCCAGCAACACGTGCTCCGGATTTCACGTGCTCATTTTCCCGTCGCAGCAGCATTTTTTTCTCCCAGCTCTCACCCCTTCTCTTTCCTCACCTCCTTCCCGACGCCTCGAACACCCCTCGTCTCAGCCTTTCTCAATGCCCTCCCTTCCGCCCTCAAGCGCAGAAAAGGCGTCTCCAGCACTGGCGGCACATATCATGGACTCCTCGAGCATCGCATCCACCAAGCACCTCTCATTCGTCCCAGCCCTCTCACGCTCTGCCGCACATCCAACACAGCCACCACAGCTGCCAGCGTCCACCAATCTACTATCCTCGTCTCTCAGATTCCTTCCCGCGTCTCTTGGCCGCGTGTTCGCGGTGTCGGCGCTGCTCGTCGTCGCGCTCTCCACCGTGTCGCAGTACCGCGATCTGCAGGCAGCCGGGAGCATCATGGCGGCATCGTCGCCGTTCCCCGTGCTGCCGCCGCTGGAGGTCCGTCGGCTGGTGGAGGACGAAGGGTACATTTACCTGGACGTCAGGTGAGCCATCGCGTTTGAAAAAAACGCGCTGTGCGACGTCTGGAAACTCGCAATTATCATCGTTCATGTCAAAAGGCTATTTCATCGTACACTTTGGGTCCCTGTCACAGACTTGACAGCTCCAAGTCCCCTTCCTCAGTTCATCCCATCCCGTGTTCTCTGTGCGATCCCGTGCGGTGCGTGCGCTGTATCGCGAAGGACGGCAGAGGAGTTCGCGCAGGTGCACGTGGCGGGGTCGGACCTCATCCCGTATCTCATCACCGCGCCGGACGGTACGTCCCGCCCAGGCCATGCGCATGCGCTTCCGAACGAGTCGCTCGCCCTGGAGCGCCGGTCCGCCCATTGACCGTCTCGACGCCCTTCATAGGTTTCTCTCGCGTGTTTCGCGCGTCTGCCTCGGCCCATGCGCGCACTGAAATCTCACCGCCTGTTCTGCCGCTGCAGGATCGCAGCAGCCGAATCCCGGCTACCTCGCCCAAGTGAAGGCCAAATACGCCCTGGATACGCCGCTCGTCGTGGTACTATGGCACACCTTTCTCCCTTCTCCTCTCATCCTCTCAGTCCCTAGTAATTTCTTCTGGCACACTATCCCTCGGATGCACGTTTCTGTCTGTCCTGTGTTGTGTGCCTCCCAATGCGCGCTCGTATGGTAGGTAAACAAGCTCTTCCCTGCATGCCACCTCCCTTCCCCAGGCGTGTCGCAGCGGCAGGAGATCGAACCTGGCAGCTCTGGAAATGATGGCTCAGGTGAGCAAATAAGGGCGTGATGCAAATAAGGCAATCTTTATCCACTTCCACGTGTCTCCTCATGTCCAGCAGTTCGCCCATTCTCCGTGCCGTCGAATGCAATTTCATTGCGTCTGTGCGTGCATTGCAGGGATTCACAAACCTAGTGGACCTGGCAGGCGGCATCATCGCATGGGAGGCGAGCGGGCTGCCTGTAGTGAGGCAGGCCAGTAAAGCGGATGGTGCAGCCCGCTCTCCTGTCACCAACGCAAGCAGGATGGCTGGATGACTTTTATATGTACATATTTAAGTTATATGTATTTCAGGGTAGAAGGGCTGTGTATTGATACATTAGTCCCACCACCTGCTAGGACACCAGAACTCTTGCCTTTCGGATGTAACACCCCGTTGCTTCCCTTAAACATAGTATATGCTTTTAGTACACCCTGTCACCATTCGCCCATGTTCATCGCCACAAACCCCGCAAACAGTCTCCCTCCGGTGGCCCGCAGCTCGTTGATGAGGCGGCTCCAGTTGGACCCCAGCGACCCGATGAAGTAGTCGCACTGCGAGGCGATGATGGCGCTGGCCAGGCTGGCGGCCACCGATTGCGACGCATCGTACTCTCTGTTGCGCTCCGAGTCGGACGGCTGACGCGAGTTGGAGGAGAAGAGGAAGTGCCAGTCGGGGTAGTGGGCTGTCTCGTTGATCACGGACTGCCATGGGGGGACCGGAGGCATGTGTTGGATGTATGAATAGAGTGTGAGAGTACTATGCATGGATGATAAGCGATCGTGGGAGATAGTAATGCATATGGAGTCGACCCAAACCACTCTATGGAGTCGACCCAAACCACACTACGGAGTCGACACAAACCACACTATGGAGTCGACCCAAACCACACTATGGAGTCGACCCAAACCACACTATGGAGTCGACACAAACCACACTATGAAGTCGACACAAACCACACTATGGAGTCGACACAAACCACGCTTTGGAGTCGACACAAACCACGCTATGGAGTCGACACAAACCACACTATGGAGTCGACCCAAACCACACTATGGAGTCGACCCAAACCACACTATGGAGTTGACCCAAACCACACTATGGAGTCGACCCAAACCACACTATGGAGTCGACACAAACCACATTATGGAGTCGGCACAAACCACACATAATGGAGTCGACACAAACCACACAATGGAGTCGACACAAACCACACTATGGAGTCGACACAAACCGCACAATGGAGTCGGCTCATTCGCAAGAGGTTGTTCACCCACCCACCTGAGCCTCTGTGTTGAGCCACACATATCTGAGGTCCACCTCCGCCCGGCGCAGGCGGTACGCAACGAACATGTGTGCCGCCAGTGACAGCACCTTCATCTCAGACAGCTTGTCGCTCTGCCGCACGTGCATGCTCATCATCGGCCGCTGCAGGTACGGCTCCCGGGCCAGATCCGTAGGTATGGCAGTGGTAGACACAGGAACCCAAGGAACACTGGCAGTAGGTGTCGGTTCCATGGGAGTATTTCTGCCAGGAGTGGCAGTAGCAGCAGCAGCAGCGGCGGCGGCAGCGGCAGCAGCAGCTGAAGCATGAGTATCGCGAGACTCATAGTGTTGGAGGGCGTGTGCGAAGGCATGGAGAGAGGAGATGTGAGAGGGGGAGGGGTGAGTGGGGGAGTGGAGGGAGGCGATGCGATTGGCTGCGTGCATGCCGTAGGCGGTGTGCCTCTGTCGGTTGATGACATGGCAGAGATGGGCTGATGGCCACCTCAGCATGAAGCGCACCGCCTGCGCCCGCCACCAGTGCACCTGGGGGTAAGGCAAAAGCGGTATAATAGACTTCATTCGAACGCACCCCCTGCGCCCGCCACCAGTGGACCTGCAGGCAAGGAATGGAGGGATGCATCGGAAATCATGGAAGGCCACCACCTGCACCCGCCACCATTGAACCTGAGGGGTCCGGGTGGAGGGGCACCACCTGCACCCGCCCGGGGGGTCCGGGTGATTTTTGAGTCGACTCAAAAATCACCTACAGATATTGTCACACGAGAGATTCGAAGATCGGCGTGCTATTATCGCGCGGAAGCTTCCAAAGCGTACAGGGGACTTTTTAGTTTCAGCTAGAAAATGTTAGGTGTAGCTACACTTATCCTATTCTTTCTAGCCTAGCTTTCGGACTCCGAGAATTCCCTCGAGCCGCATTTTGGCCTTGGGATAATCGCGAGCTCCTGCCTATTTAGCCTTGCTCATTTGCTCTTTTTGTATGTTCTGATGAAGGCAGCCACCTGCCGAAACTAGTTACCATCACTTTTGCCCAACGAATTCAGGAGAGTTTTCCGAGCAAGAATTTTTCTCTACTAAACAATAAGTGTTTTACAAGCCCGCTGCCACATATGGCTAAAACTACCACCAAGTGGTGTTCTCTCGAACCTGAGGGGTCCGGGGGGAGGGGCACCACCTGCACCCGCCTGGGGGGTCCGGGTGGAGGTAATGACATGAATGGGATCCCACCCTCCAGTAGTGGACCTGGGGAGAAGGAGAATGGATCTTGGAGATATGGTTGGATCTTGGAGATAAGGTTGGATGTCGAACCTAACTAAGAGTCCGGTTCTTCATTGCTGGTTCGGTGTGCAACTGGGATCCAGCACCCAACTAAGGTTGTTGCACTTAGTTAAGTATCTGGTATGGTGCATAGGGATGCTGGCCTCGCTCCACCACGTTCAGGCACACACACCTGCATAAACCTCCACCCCAACCAATGTCCCTATCCGTCCCATCTCACCATCTTGGTATCCGCGCTGCTGGCCTCCACGTGCCCCCCATGCTGCACCACATCCGTGGTCAGCCAGGTAGGCATCGCTACGACGCACGCGTATCTCTGCCTTTCCACCCGCCACCTCACCCGCCATCTCACCCGCCATCTCACCCGCCATCTCACCCGCCATCTCACCCGCCACCTCACCCGCCACCTCACCCGCCATCTCACCCGCCATCTCACCCGCCATCTCACCCGCCATCTCACCCTTCATCTCACCATCTTGGTTTCCGCGCTGCTGGCCGCCACGTGCCCCCCATGCTCCACCACATCGGGGTCAGCCAGGTAGGCATCGCCCCAGAGGTACGCAGCTCGCCCCTCATAGTTCATAAACACATCCGTGGTGGGGTCCAGGCACACCGCCTGGTAGGAGTGCGGGCGGGGGCACAAGAGGCACCGCCAGAATGGGGTGCGGACAAGGGTGAGCAGCCAGCACCTCCCCCTGCACTTCATGAACTCATCACTGGTGGGGCCGAGACACACAGCCTGGCGGGTGGGGTACGGCAGGTGAGCTTTCAGGTGGACTCGACAAAGTCGCCCCTCATGATTTATAAATACGTCAGTTGGTGGGTCCAGTCCAAGCCCAGCACATCGTGCAAGCCCACCACATCGTGCAAGCCCACCAGGGCACAGACTAGCAGCAGTGATCAGAGCACTCAGGCTAGACGAAGATCAACTCCTGGTAGCACGTGCCAGTTGCCTCACAAGAAGTCATCCCAGTTGTCGCTCTCAGTGCACACTTCCCCCACAGTACCTTGGCCTCTGATCCCACCTCCTCCTCTCTCCGTTGACTCTGCCCCAATACGTCCCTCCCACCCACCTCCTCCTTCCGCCTCTGCTGTTCTGTCGCACGCAAAGCCTCCCGTCACACACCCAGGCCCAACCTCCCTTATCCTCACCTCCCACCCATGTGCTCCCACCCATGTGCTCCCACCCATGTGCTCCCACCCATGTGCTCCCATCCATGTGCTCTCACCCATGTGCTCTCGCATCCCCACCATGGCGCATGGCACCATCCCATCCCATCCTCTGCAACTCAAGCTTTTACCCCCTCAACGTCTCAGCCCCCTCAATTTTTCAGCCCACCTGCTGCTCTATCTTACCCCGCCTCCACTCGTACCCTCTCGCATCCTCTCACAATCTCACACAACCTCACCTCACCTGCTGCTCCGACTGCGCCGCTCTGTCGTACCCCAGCTCCTCCCCCGTCACGCACTCCCCGATGGCATCCTCTGCTCTCAGGCGGTTGAGCTCTCCCTCACAGTCAGGGGAGACGATGGGGAAGAAGAAACACTCCCAGCTGCCCTGCTGCCCCGTGGCTGGGTGGGGAGAGCAGGGAGAGCAGGGAGAGCGGGGGGAGCAGGGGGAGCAGGGGGAGCAGGGGGAGCAGGGGGAGCAGGGGGAGCAGGGGGAGCAGGGACAGACAGTAGGGGTGAGGGAGTGTGAGGCGTGAGGGCGAAGGATTTTAAACAGTTTGGCGCAAGCAGCAGAGGCAAATGGGACGGGAAGAGCAAGAACAGCTATCATGTTGAGCAGCGGCTGTGTGATTGGGTGAGCAGGGAGTGAGCGAGGGAATGCGTGAGTGAGGGAGTGAGGAGTGAGGGAGAGGAAAAGCCATCAGCATTGGGGAAGCACTCGCAGAGGAGGCAAGGATGGGGGAAACTATTGGCAGCTGCGAATAAAAGCATCGCAATTCAATTCGGGCGCCTCAGAAGGCACCTGAGAAGGCGTTTAGAAATGGCACACAGTGGAAGTGACCTTGGCAGGGGGGGGTGGTTGGCAGCACACCTTGGCAATGGGCGTGGTTGGCAGCACACCTTGGCAATGGGCGTGGTTGGCAGCACACCTTGGCAATGGGCGTGGTTGGCGCGGTCAAAGGAGTTGGCGAGGGGGATGAGAGTGCGGTTGTGCAGCATGGCCAGGCTCAGGAACGCGCCCATCAGATGCACCTGATGCGCCATGCGCCAGGAGGGGGGTGGAGGGGGGGGAATGGGAGAGAGGAGGGGAAGGAGAGAAGTGATGGGAGTTGCCTTGTGCCGCGGGAGTGCAGCTGCGCAGCAGGGAAAGGGCGAGAAATGCGCCCATCAGATGCACGTCATGTGCCGCGTGTGGGAGAGGGGGGCGGGAGGGGGTGAGACGGCATGGTTGGATGGATGTGGGCCACGGCAGCAGTGGCGGCGGCGGGCTTCAGCGGCTGACGCACCTGCGATGCCCGTGCTGCTGCACTGATCGCCCTGAAACCCCAGACCATGGAAACGGAAACTCCAGCCTCACGCATCTGTTCCCAGCCCCTAGTGCGTGCAAGCACACGTGCATGGCTGGCACGGATAGACCTGGACTAACCTGCGACCCCACCCGAAGCACCCGAAGACCCCACCCGCGGCAGCAGCAGCAGCAGGCATTGATGGCCGTCAAGACACCATTCAAGGTACATGCCCTCACCTGTGACCCCACCCGTGGAACATGCACGCTCCAGGGCACGAGCAGCAGGCGCTGGCCCTCACATGCACCTGGTGCTGATCTGCCATCCATCCAAGCCTCGATACATCAGCACTAACCTGCGGTCACCCCACCCCACCCCACCCCACCCCATGGTACATGCTCGTGCTCCACGGCACGAGCAGCAGGCCTTGAGGCACTTCACATGCACCACCTGGTCGGTAGGCGGTAATCAGCCACGCCCTCACCTGCGACCCCACCCCATGGTACATGCCCGTGCTCCACGGCACGAGCAGCAGGCGACGACCCTTGCAGGAGCGGGCGGGCAGCAGCTGGTGCAGCCAGATGTCGCGCTGCGCCTGCCGTGTCAAGGCCAGGTTGCTGCTGTCCGCGCCTCGCACCTGCAGAGAAGGGAGACAGGAGGAGGGCGAGAGGGGAGTGGGAGGGACGGAAGGGCGAGGGGGAGGGGGAGAAGGGGCGGGGCAGATTGCTGCTGTCCGCCCATCGGACCTTGGTGGATGCGTGGGTGATGGGGAAGGGCGGGGGACGGGTGAGGGGAAGAGAAGGGAAAGGAGGAGGGAGGCGTGAGGCGAAGGGAAGGGAAGGGCGGAGAGAAGCAAATGAAGGGGAGTTGGCACGACGAGGAGAGCACGGGAAGGAGGGACACGGACGACGCTTTCTCGTAGAGCAAGGGATGAGGCCCTCTGGTAGAGCAAGGGATGAGGCCCCCTGGTAGAGCAAGGGATGAGGCTTTCTCGTAGAGCAAGAGATGAGGCCCTCTGGTAGAGTCTGTGGCACACCAAGTGCCTCGCATCATCATCATCATCCACCCCTTCCCCCCTCATCATCGCCCTCCCTGCCCCCCTCTCACACCCATACCGCCCTCTCTCTTCCTCACTCCCCCTCTCACCCCATACCCCCCTCTCCCCCCCCCCTCACCCCTACCGCCCTCTCTCCCACCCCCTCTCACACCCATACCGCCCCTCCCCCCCCCCCCCCCCCCCCCCTCCCCCCCCCCTCCACCCCATACCGCCCTCTCTCTTCCTCACTCCCCCACTCACACCCATACCGCCCTCTCTCTTCCTCACTCCCCCACTCACTTGCTCACCCACGGCGGTTGCGGAGGGCAGTTGCAGGAGGAGGAGGAGGAGGAGGAGGAGGAGGAGGAGGAGGAGGAGGAGGAGGGAGGGGGGGTCTAGAGGGGAGGAAGGAGCATCCCATTTCCCCCAGGGATTAGAGCATCCCCCCTGCCTGTTCCGCGGGGGATCCACCCATGTTGGCGGCTTCCCCCCTTCCCCCCGCTGCTCCGCCTGGTGGCGCAGGGCTGTGAGCGCGGCGCAGTCCTCCAGATGAGGGGCGGGGGGGAGAGAGGGCGGAAGGGAGAGAGGGGAGGGGGGAAGCAGCGAGTCGGGGGAGAGCCCGTAGGAGTCGCCCAGGCCTGTTTCGGGTGGGGGGGAGAAGGGGGGGGAAGAGAGGGAGAGGGGGATGGGGAGGGGGAGGGGAATGGGGACGAGGAAGGGGAGGATGGTTCTATACAAGGACGCGCACTGCGAAAGGCGGCGAGGGGCAGAAATCGGGTGGCAGGGGCTGGCAGGGAGTGGCAGGGAACGCTCATTCTCGCTGTTGACTCACCCGATACAGCGACATGGCGTGCTCCATTCCCACCTCCCCTTCCAGAGCTCTCACGACCGTAAATGCGGTCTTGTAGAATGAATCGCACGGCCAGTCGCACAGTATCGTCGCCACGACGAACGCGACGAGCGAAACAGACGGGCGACGAAATGGATCATGGCGTGCGAGCGTGCGTCGCACGACCATCAGCGGGTCGCCTTGAGCGCCTCTGAGCTAATGGCAGCGGGTCCTCAAAAGTCGACGCGAGCAGCAGTGGTCGCAACAACCGGCGGCAATGGCAGGCGGGCGGGTGGTTGACAACGTCGCCAGTGGGCGAAGTCGAGGCTTCGAGCTCAGAGCCGTGAAGACGTGCAGTTCAAGGCGTCTCCACACATACGACAATGGTCTGGTCCGGTAGAGGTTGCAAATTTCTATTAAACTAATAACAAATATGTAACATGGGGGTGTAGCTCACATGGTAGAGCGATCGCTTTGCATGCGATAGGTACGGGGATCGATACCCCGCGTCTCCACGAAAATATTCGTTATGTTTCTTTTTCCTAGCACGTCAAGTAATGGGAGACTGCAACCAGTCCCTCTGAGTCCGATGAGCACTTCTCGGACTGGGTTATAATTTCTGGCCGCAGCTGACGCAGTCGCATTATTACTCTTCAGCGCCATCAGACGATTAGAGCCTTACACCGTAGCCGCGCAGACCAGAGAGACGACGTGCACGGCGCGTCGCGCGCGGAGCTGCTTCTGCTACCGCTCGCGCTGCTGTCGCGCAGTTGGGAATCCGAGCTCCCTGCCCGTCGCCGTGCGATGACATGCGACGCCGGCTCGCACGCGATTCTCTGTCTCGCCGCTCGTCGTTGCGCTCGTCGCATTCGTCGTGGCGGCGACGCTGCGCGACTGGCCGTGCGATTCGTCCAGCAGGACCGCATCGACGGTCGTGAGGGCTCTGGAAGAGAGCGGAACGGAGCATGCGACGTCGCTATATCGGGTGAGACAGCATTGGGGCTCTTCGCATCCCATTGACAGCATGGAAACTTTCCAGCATCAAATCTAGGAGCGTGACGCGTCCGTGCTCCCTTTCATTCTCTTGTGCTCCTTTTTCTTTTTTTTTTTTTTTTTTTTTTTTTTTTTTTTTTTTTCTTGTGCATACCTTTTCCATTTCCCTGCTCGCACTTCCATTCCCCTCTCGTTCTCCCAATCTCCCCCCCCTCCCCCCCCCCTACCCCCCCCCCGCAGGCCTGGGCGGACGCCTACGGGCTCTCCCCCGACTCGCTGCTTCCTCCCTCCCCCCTCGCCCTTCCGCCCTCCCTCCCCCCCGCCCCTCATCTGGAGGACTGCGCCGCGCTCACAGCCCTGCGCCAGCAGGCGGAGCAGCGGGGGGAAGGGGGGGAACTCCCCTCATGGGCGGACCCACAGCCCGCCCAAGGGGAAGGGGGAGGGGGGGACGGGGGGGGGGACGGAGGAACAGGGGAAGGGGGAAGCGGAGGCGCGTGCTGCAGGAGGGCGTCGCCTGGGTTCACAAATGGCGAGTTCAAGCCGTCGATTGCCGCCACTGTTGCTGCTGCAGCTGAGGGGTCCTCCGCTGCTCCCCCTCCCCCACCTGCATGCTGCGAGTGTGTGCCCCAGCCGCCATGGGTGGGTGGGTGGGTGGGTGGGTTTGTGGGTGCGGAGGGGGTGGGTGGGTGCGGGGTGGGTGGGGAATGGGTGGGGCTAAGCATGTGTCCGCCTTAAGCCTACCCGTACTCTTCAGCCTGTAGTTACAGATACTGTGGTGGGCTCTCTGTCTCCTTCCTCTCAGTGCGGCATACCGGCAGCTGGGAGAGCAGCCGTCAGTCGTGGAGTGTCCTGGGGTTGTATCGCCCTTCTCTAATCCCATCGCCCGCTCTCCTATTTTCTCTCCCACTCCTCCTCTTCCTAACTCTACGCTCTCCTCTGCTCGTTTTCCCTCCTCCCACCGCCCCTCCTCCCACCGCCCCCCCCCCCCCCCCCCCGCCCCTCCTCCCACCGCCCCTCCTCCCACCGCCCCTCCTCCCACCACCCCTCCTCCCACCATCCGTCCTTCCCCCATCGCCCCCCGGACCAACAGGTGCGAGGGGCAGACAGTGACAATCTGGCGTTGACCAGAGCGGTGCAGAGGGATTTGTGGGAGTGGCAGTTCCCGCCTTCATGTGCCAACAGGCGGCTGCTGGTGGTGCCATGGCCCGAGGACCGATCGCATGGCATGGGGTCGCAGGTACAGACATGGCGTGGCACGGAACGGCATGGCATGGCATGGCACGGCACGGCATGGCATGGCATGGCACGGCATGGCATGGCATGGCACGGCACGGCACGGCACGGCATGGCACGGCACGGCACGGCATGGCATGGCATGGCACGGCACGGCATGGCATGGCATGGCACGGCACGGCATGGCATGGCACGGCACGGCACGGCACGGCAAGGCATGGCATGGCACGGCAGAGCACGGCAGAGCACGGCACGGCACGGCACGGCACGGCAGGGCACGGCACGGCACGGCATGGGGTCATGAGCATGCACAGCGTGGCGTGAATATAGCTGCTGGCGAGGGGCCCAGTGGCATGGCATGGGGCCGCAGGTGGGTGAGGGGGCATTCTGAGGTGCGCTTGCCATGGCATGGAGTGGTGCACGGTTAGCACGTGCACTGAGGGCTGCTGCTGGTGCCATGACCTGCAACCTAGTGGCATGGCATGGGGTCACGGGCAGCAATGGCAGGTATGGTAGGTGGGTATGGCATGGTATGGTAGGTGGGTATGGCATGATATGGTAGGTGGGTATGGCATGATATGGTAGGTGGGTATGGCATGATATGGTAGGTGGGTATGGCATGGCATGGGATGGCATCACGTGCTGCTCTGCATCCGCCTCATTGAGGAGCCGTGTGATCAGGTGAGCTGTAGCAGCCTGCTTGCCTCGGCCATTTTCCAAGGCCGTTTAGGAAGGCCGTTGCTCATGTTGTCGTACTCCCCTCCGCTGTTGAAACCACCTGGGAATTCACCTGGCCGCCAGGTGCACATCATGGCGGTGCTTCTCAGTGTGGCCCTCTCCTCCAATCGCATCCTCGTGCCGCTGCCTGCCTCCTATGGCCGCGCCAACACCACCGACTGCCACGGTGAGCGCCGCACAGAGCGCATGGGACCATGGGTGGACTCGTCCCCACTTTTGTACATTCTAGAGCAACGCCAGCGGGTGGGTGGGTCTCCTCTCCCCCTGCTGCCTGCCTCGTCCTTCTCCCGTTTTTCTTTATCCTTTTGCCACTTGCACTTTCGTCGGCCCACTCTGCCGCCCCTCTCCTTCTTTCCTCCCTTCCTCCTTCCCCATCCCACCTTCCCCTTTCCCCCTCGCTCCGCCCTTGCCCCAACCAGCCACAGCCCACTTCAGCACGGGCCTCATTCTCCCCCCCCATCATTCCTACTCACCAACCCATGAACCCACGAAATCGTGAGCCCACGAGGTAGCGCTCTGCCTGAATGCGCAACAACCCATGCGCCATCCCTCCCTCAACCCCTGCGCCATCCCTCCCTCAACCCCTCGCCATCCCCCTCACCCATCCCCCCTCCCCCCCCCCCCCCCAACCCATGCGCCATCCCTCCCACCCTGCGCCATCCCTCCCTCAACCCATGCGCCATCCCTCCCTCAACCCATGCGCCATCCCTCCCTCAACCCATGCGCCATCCCTCCCTCAACCCATGCGCCATCCCTCCCTCAACCCATGCGCCATCCCTCCCTCAACCCATGCGCCACCCCCCCCTCAACCCATGCGCCATCCCTCCCTCAACCCATGCGCCATCCCTCCCTCACCAGCGCCATCCCCTCCCCTCCCCCCCCCCCCCCCCCCCCCCCCCCCCCCCCCCCCCCCCCCCCCCCATGCGCCATCCCTCCCTCACCCATGCGCCATCCCTCCCTCAACCCATGCGCCATCCCTCCCTCAACCCATGCGCCCTCCCCCCCCCCCCCCCCAAGCAGCCCCACCCCACCACAGCACCTAGGCCTGCTTCTTCGCTTCCATCCCTGCGAGTCAGAACAGCGCACCCTCAATCCCCACACCAGCACCAGGGCCCGCTCCTTCTCTCCCACCATGCATACCCTGTAACCCGTGTGATAGTAACTTCGTTTTGAGTCGACTCAAAACCTGTAACCCTCTACCGTACCCCCCCACCCTATGCACCAGCCACGGGCCACCACAGCACCTGGGCGTGCTTCTTCTCCCCTTTCGCTTCCCCGCTCTGCTCCCAAGAGGTCTCCCTCGCGCTCTCGGCCAATCAGCTGCTGCCATGTGTCGTCCCGGCAGAGGGCTACAGGGCAGGAGCAGCATTGGCGGACCGACTGGTGTGCGTCAACACGTCGTCCCTCGACGAGTTGAAGTATGAAGCAGCTGCTGCCAGGTGAGGGTGATGCGCCATGGGCTAGAGTGGCAGCAGCTGCAAAGACACTGTGACATGTGTCAGCACATTGTCCCTGAATGAGCTAAAGTTCGAAGCGGCTGCTGCCAGGTGAGGGCTAGGGCTGATGCACGTGGGGTACCATGCTGGTTGGATGTGCCAGCTGCAGCAGCGCCTGGCAAGCTCATGTGCGTCGTGTGGGCAAGATGTCTTCAAGCCATCACGAGTTTGCGCCTGCAATTTACGGGAATGAGTGGAGCTGCCTTCATGTGTGCAAGTTGCCTTCATGTGTGCAAGTTGCCTTCATGTGTGCAAGTTGCCTTCTCTGCCGACCATAGGAGTGCCTCTGCGTTGTCAGTTGGGAATCTTCATTCGTCAAAGCGTCTTCTGTGCTTCGTACGCACATGCCTCCTCACTCCCTCAATGTGCCATGCTGCCATGCCTTCTCTCTCCCTCCGTGTGCCATGCTGCCATGCCTCCTCTCTCCCTCCATGTGCCATGCTGCCATGCCTCATTCTCTGCCACATGCTGCTGATGGCACCTGTGCTGCCGTGCATGGATGGCACCCTGCATGCCCCTCTGAGCAGCCTGTGGGGCGATGCGTATTCCACGGACCCGGATGTGGTGGAGCACCGCGGCGAGGTGCTGCTGGAGGGCACCGACGACAAGAAGGTGAGCTCTGAGCAGGGGCACGAGAGGGGGAGCAGGGGGCACGGGAGGGGGAGCAGGGGCACGAGAGGGGGAGCAGGGGGCACGAGAGGGGGAGCAGGGGGCACGAGAGGGGGAGAAGGGGGCACGAGAGGGGGAGCAGGGGGCACGAGAGGGGGAGCAGGGGGCACGGGAGGGGGAGCAGGGGGCACGAGAGGGGAGCAGGGGGCACGAGAGGGGGAGCAGGGGGCACGAGAGGGGGAGCAGGGGGCACGAGAGGGGGGCAGGGGGCACGAGTGGGGGAGCAGGGGGCACGAGAGGGGGAGCAGGGGGCACGAGAGGGGGAGCAGGGGGCACGAGAGGGGGAGCAGGGGGCACGAGAGGGGGGCAGGGGGCACGAGAGGGGGAGCAGGGGGCACGAGAGGGGGGGCAGGGGGCACGAGAGGGGGAGGAGGGGGCACGAGAGGGGGAGCAGGGGGCACGAGAGGGGGAGCAGGGGGCACGAGAGGGGAGCAGGGGGCACGAGAGGGGGGCAGGGGGCACGAGAGGGGGCAGGGGCACGAGAGGGGGAGCAGGGGGCACGAGAGGGGGAGCAGGGGGCACGAGAGGGGGAGCAGGGGCACGAGAGGGGGGGCAGGGGGCACGAGAGGGGAGCAGGGGGCACGAGAGGGGGGCAGGGGGCACGAGAGGGGGAGCAGGGGGCACGAGAGGGGGGCAGGGGGCACGAGAGGGGGAGCAGGGGGCACGAGAGGGGGGCAGGGGGCACGAGAGGGGGGGCAGGGGGCACGAGAGGGGGAGCAGGGGGCACGAGAGGGGGGCAGGGGGCACGAGAGGGGGGCAGGGGGCACGAGAGGGGGGGCAGGGGGCACGAGAGGGGGGCAGGGGGCACGGGAGGGGAGCAGGGGGCACGAGAGGGGGAGCAGGGGGCACGAGAGGGGGGGCAGGGGGCACGAGAGGGGGCAGGGGGCACGAGAGGGGGGCAGGGGGCACGAGAGGGGGAGCAGGGGGCACGAGAGGGGGAGCAGGGGGCACGAGAGGGGGGCAGGGGGCACGAGAGGGGGAGCAGGGGGCACGAGAGGGGGAGCAGGGGGCACAGGAGGGGGAGCAGGGGGCACGAGAGGGGGAGCAGGGGGCACGAGAGGGGGAGCAGGGGGCACGAGAGGGGGAGCAGGGGGCACGAGAGGGGGGCAGGGGGCACGAGAGGGGGGCAGGGGGCACGAGAGGGGGGCAGGGGGCACGAGAGGGGGGCAGGGGCACGAGAGGGGGGCAGGGGCACGAGAGGGGGGCAGGGGGCACGAGAGGGGGAGCAGGGGGCACGAGAGGGGGGCAGGGGGCACGAGAGGGGGGGCAGGGGGCACGAGAGGGGGGGCAGGGGGCACGAGAGGGGGCAGGGGGCACGGAGGGGGAGCAGGGGCACGAGAGGGGGAGCAGGGGGCACGAGAGGGGGGGCAGGGGGCACGAGAGGGGGGCAGGGGGCACGAGAGGGGGGGCAGGGGGCACGAGAGGGGGATCAGGGGGCACGAGAGGGGAGCAGGGGGCACGAGAGGGGGAGCAGGGGGCACGAGAGGGGGAGCAGGGGGCACGAGAGGGGGAGCAGGGGGCACGAGAGGGGGAGCAGGGGGCACGAGAGGGGGGGCAGGGGGCACGAGAGGGGGAGCAGGGGGCACGAGAGGGGGGGCAGGGGGCACGAGAGGGGGAGCAGGGGGCACGAGAGGGGGGCAGGGGGCACGAGAGGGGGGCAGGGGGCACGAGAGGGGGCAGGGGGCACGAGAGGGGGGGCAGGGGGCACGAGAGGGGGAGCAGGGGCACGAGAGGGGGGCAGGGGGCACGAGAGGGGGGGCAGGGGCACGAGACGGGGGGCAGGGGCACGGGAGGGGGAGCAGGGGGCACGAGAGGGGGAGCAGGGGGCACGAGAGGGGGAGCAGGGGGCACGAGAGGGGGGGCAGGGGGCACGAGAGGGGGGGCAGGGGGCACGAGAGGGGGAGCAGGGGCACGAGAGGGGGAGCAGGGGCACGAGAGGGGGAGCAGGGGGCACGAGAGGGGGAGCAGGGGGCACGAGAGGGGGAGCAGGGGGCACGAGAGGGGGAGCAGGGGGCACAGGAGGGGGAGCAGGGGGCACGAGAGGGGGAGCAGGGGGCACGAGAGGGGGAGCAGGGGGCACGAGAGGGGGAGCAGGGGGCACGAGAGAGGGGGCAGGGGGCACGAGAGGAGGAGCAGGGGGCACGAGAGGGGGGGCAGGGGGCACGAGAGGGGGAGCAGGGGGCACGGAGGGGGAGCAGGGGGCACGAGAGGGGGAGCAGGGGGCACGAGAGGGGGGGCAGGGGGCACGAGAGGGGGGCAGGGGGCACGAGAGGGCTAGCAGGGGCACGAGAGGGGGAGCAGGGGGCACAGGAGGGGGAGCAGGGGGCACAGGCTACATGTGTGTATGTCATTGCAAGCAACTTATGTAGCGCCCCACACTGCCCTGTCTCGCCAAATTTCCTCTTGCCAACCTCTTACCCTCTATCCTTTCCGTCTGCTGTTTCCATAGCCAATTTCACCCACCTTTTTTTTTTTTTTTTTTTTGCCCGTTGCTCACAGCTGCACTGGTGGCGGGCGCAGGCGGTGCGCTTCATGCTGAGGTGGCCGTCCGCCCATCTCTGCCACGTCATCAACCGACAGAGACACACCGCCTATGGCATGCACGCAGCCAACCGCATTGCCCGGGTAACAGAGCTGCAGGTGCAGCTGCTGCACTCGCTGCCCCCCTTGACCGCAACAGACGGCTCGAGAGCTGATAGTGGTCCTGCTGCTGCTGCTGCCAGTGCCACGGCTGCAGCTATTGCAGCGGCAGCAGCAGCAAGGTTCACGGCTCATGATTTCTCCGCAGGCTCTGCTTCTGCTGCTGCTGCAGCTGCTGCCGCTTCTGCTGCCAGTGGTGCTGCATCTGCCAGCCTGTCGTCACTACCATCGCTGGCATCTGAGCCGTACATGGTGCGGCCCATCGTGAGCATGCACGTGCGGCAGAGCGACAAGCGGGTGGAGATGGGCGTGTGGTCGTTCGCCGCCCACATGCTCTTCGCCGCCCGTCTGCAGCGCACCCACGTGGACCTCAAGCACGTGTGGCTCAGCACCGAGATGCAGGTGGGTTTGGCTTTGGATGAAATGCAGGGCGCCTGATGGCAGTTGGGTTACAAGGCACTCAATACAAGTGAGTAGTTTAACAGTTCCTCATTTCCTCTCCACAATCCCTCCCTTGCTCTCTCTCCTCATCCCGCAGTCTGTGATCAACAAGGCCGCTACCTTCTCCGAGTTCCTCTACCTTCCCGCAGTCTCTCTCTTCTCCACATTCCTCTATTCACCAACCACCGCATGCCACAGGCCTCTCTGGACCCCCATGCCTCACTCTCCTGGCTCCCCCTATGTGCCCCCCGTTTCTCCCCCCCCACCCATAGTCCGTCATCAACGAGGCTGCCACCTTCACCGACTGGACCTTCCTCTACGCCGCCAACGGCCGCCTGCCAGTCGACTCGCTGGACCCCCACGCGTACGATGCGCTGCAGTCGCCCACCGCCAGCCTGGCGAGCCTCATCATCGCCTCACAGTGCGACGTGTTCATCGGGTCGCTGGGGTCCAACTGGAGCCGACTCATCAACGAGCTGCGCGCCACCAACGGGCGCCTGCACAACGGGTTTGTTGCCATGAACACGGGGGAGTGGTAGCACTGCCCTCTTACCTCTTCATCGGGTCGTTCGGGTGTAGTTGGAGTAGCGATAAACGAGCTGAGAGGTACAAATGCGCAGCTGCTCAACGGGTGTGTTGCCATGAACACGGGGGATGGTGATGGTTGCAGCGCAGCGCGATTGATCACTGGTTACTGTGTTGTTGGGGCGCAACTGGGGCAGACTCATGAACGAGCCGGGGGACACCAATAGGCAGCTGCTCCATGGGTTGTTGCCATGAACGCTGGGGAATGGTTCCAGCTGGTGTGGTATTATGTACTATATTTACGGATCTACTATAGAGAATTATAAACCTGCGGCTCTGTGCTGCGGTACTCAGCGTGTTTAGCGTTGTACAATGGTACAAGGGTACAGTGTTACGGAACATTGGTAGTGCCAATTTGCTACGGGCAGGAAAACATGTGTTGAGATGAGTGTCAAGGAGCCAATGTCCTGTTGGCTTCATGGAGCTTACACACTGTACCCAGGTGCATACATACACAATACAACCAACCAATACATTCCAATTTCAATGCATTATGGCACATTAATGTACATGAACCGCAATTGCCTTCTACCCCCAGTCGCCCTCAGCTGGTCCAGCAGCTGCGCCCACACGTCGCCATGCATCCCCACAAACCCATCGCACTGCGAGCCCACCACCAGCCGCGCCAGCTGCTCGCTCTCCTCCCACCCATCACTCGCCGCACTAGAAGCTCCTACATCCCCTACCTCTGCTGGCGCGCCGGTACTCCCACCATCCCCCGCCGTGCTCCCAGCCGAAGGGGCAGTGGCACCAAGTGGGGCTGTTGCGCTTTCAAAGTCAGCTGGCGCTGCACTGCCTGCACTGGCAGCAGGCGCAGCTGCTGCTTGCTCCTCGAGTAGCCGCCGCAGGTTGTGTGGTGAGGGGGAGTCGGGTGAGGCCGAGGGAGAGGGGAGGTAGAGAGTCCAGTCAGGAAAGTGAACGGAGTCGGGTGGTGGCAGCTGGGAGAAAGGATGGGCAGAGAAAAGAAAGAAAGAAGGTAGTAAAGATCGGTGTCATTGTGAAACGAGTACCGGTTCAAAGCCTCGCCATGCCGGCTATGTGATGCGATTTAGAGAGTTCCCTAAGCCCATTCCCATGCCCATGCCCATGCTCATGCCTAGCCCCGACGCGCCTGAATCCGACCCTCACCTGCGCACCACCATGCCAGCTGACCCACATGTGCCTCGCATCCACATCCCCCAGCCGCAGCACATTCGCTGCCATCACATGCACATGCACTCCCACCACGGACGCCGTCACCACTCCTCTTCCTCCACTCCCTTCCCGCGCCCCATCGTTTCCTCCTCCTCCTCCCTCCCTTCCATCAGCCTCCTTCCCCCCCCCCATCGCCACACCCACCATGGGTCGCACCGCAAACAGCGGCTCGCCCCCTACTCGACCATACTCACCCCTCCCCACCCCTCCACACCTCTGACTGCACATGTCGAACCCCCTCGCTTCCCACACTCTCTCTTCTAGATCCTTCCCCCTGCTGCTCTGCCTGGCTTCTGACTCCGGATTTGATCCTGGAAACGAATCGGATCCGGGAATCAAATCTAGCGTTGCCAGGTCTGATGCCTCGGCCGACAAGGAGAGATTCTGGGCGGCAGCTGGGCCTGCTGAGCTGGCAGCAATTGATTGGAGGATGGAGACGCGAGTGGCTGGGAGGGAGGCGATGCGATTGGCTGCGTGCATGCCGTAGGCGGTGTGCCTCTGTCGGTTGATGACGTGGCAGAGATGGGCTGATGGCCACCTCAGCATGAAGCGCACCGCCTGCGCCCGCCACCAGTGCACCTGGGGGTAAGGCAAAAGCGGTATAATAGACTTCATTCGAACGCACCCCCTGCGCCCGCCGCCAGTGGACCTGCAGGCAAGGAATGGAGGGATGAATCAGAAATCATGGAAGGGCACCGCCTGCACCCGCCACCATTGAACCTGAGGGGTCCGGGGGGAGGGGCTCCACCTGCACCCGCCACCATCGAACCTGAGGGGAAGGAATGGAGGGATGATTTAGAGACTATCAAAGGCCACCCCCTGCGCCCTACACCAGTGGACCTGCCGGGGGGGATTAAGGGGGCAAAGGAAGAAACTGGATGAGGGGAGCAATGTAGAGCATACCGCCACCAGTAAACCTGGGGGGATGGCCAGATGCCGTAGAGGCTCACTTAGAAGCAGTACAGGTCACTCAGAAGCAGTACACTCACTCAGAAGCAGTACACTCACTCAGAAGCAGTACAGTCACTCAGAAGCAGTACAGTCACTCAGAAGCAGTACAGTCACTCAGAGGCAGTACAGGGTCACTCAGAGGCAGTACAGGGTCACTCAGAGGCAGTACAGGGTCACTCAGAGGCAGTACAGGGTCACTCAGAGGCAGTACAGGGTCACTCAGAGGCAGTACAGGGTCACTCAGAGGCAGTACAGGGTCACTCAGAGGCAGTACAGGGTCACTCAGAGGCAGTACAGGGTCACTCAGAGGCAGTACAGGGTCACTCAGAGGCAGTACAGGGTCACTCAGAGGCAGTACAGGGTCACTCAGAGGCAGTACAGGGTCACTCAGAGGCAGTACAGGGTCACTCAGAGGCAGTACAGTCACTCAGGCAGTACAGGGTCACTCAGAGGCTAGTCACCAGGGTCTCACTCAGAGGCAGTACAGGGTCACTCAGAGGCAGTACAGGGTCACTCAGAGGCAGTACAGGGTCACTCAGAGGCAGTACAGGGTCACTCAGAGGCGCAAAACAGCACACTGCCTGCCCTCGCCACCAGTGAGGCTGGGGAGGGGATGAGGGGAAAATAGTAGAATGAATCACAACAGGAATGAATCACGACAGGAATGGAGCACTCCGCCTGCGGCCGCAACCAGTGGAGCTAGGGGCGTGGTGTGGAGGAGGGGGAGGGGGAGGGGGAGGGGGAGGGGGAAGGCCCAATGATAATTTTGAGATGAGAAACGCAGTGGAGGATAGAGCTTGTGGCGGTCATGAGTGCGCGTAAAGAAGAAGAGGAATGGAGGGGCAAAAGGTGCCCAGAGGGGAGGGAAGGCGAGACGCAACACCTGGCGGGTGCCTTCCCCCCCCTCCCTTGCCCCCTCTCCTCACCTGCTCTTTCATCCCCCCACTTAACCCTCACACGTGTTACAATGTTGAGAATTCTCAGAAACCTAACATTTCCCTCACCTGCTCTTTCAGTTCATCGGCAGGTGGCACCTCCCCCAGGTACTCCCTGTGCCCCTGCTGCTCCAGGTGCGGCCTTCCCCAGCTGTTGGTAGGAGGTGGGGGGGTTAAGCGGGAAGGGCGAGGAGAGGGGAGGAGGAGGAGGAGGAGGAGGAGGAAGTGGAGAGATTTGAAAGGTCAGAAAAGAGTGGAAACTGCCCCAGGTGACACCTGCGCCAGTGCTGTACAGGCGTGGCTTTCCACAACTGTCAGCAGGAGGCAAGGGGGGAAGGAAAAGGGGAAGGGGGAAGGGGGAGGGCGGAGGGGGGTGGGGGAGAGTGAAGGGAGGAGCGGGGGGATGGGACATGCTTCACTTCCTGGGTCTTGCTGCTCGCAATGGGGCCTTTTCCAACTGCGAGGAGGGAGAAATGGGCAGGACAGGAGGGACGCGGTGAGAGGTAGACAAGTGAGTGAGGACACACAAAACTTGGTGGGTGGATGGAGGAGAGAAGCAGATAAGAGCAGCATAGAGGGAATGAAGCACATACAGTTTGGTTGCACGGGCCTCGACCAATGAGAGAGCAGCACTGTTCGTTTGGTCCACGTCAGACCCATCCACACACACCACCCTGTCTGCTGACGTGGCCAGCTGCTCAAACTGAGAGGCATCTCGGTGACACGGCGGCATGCGATTGGCAGCCATGGCTGTACTGACGTCAGCAGAGCAGCGAGGCGAAGCGATGGGGAAGAAGTAGCAACCCCAGTCGCCCATGCTGCCGTGGCCGCCCATGGCCCCGATTGGCTGGTATTCTGACATGCGGCACACCATGTCATGTTGCCATGCGTTGCCATAGCATGTCACGTTTTGCCATACCATTCCATCTCACGCCGTGCCAATTGAGTCATGCCATCAGATGCCCCGCCATAACAAGCAACACGCCATGACATGCATGCCATACCATGCATGCCATGCCATACCATCCATGCCATGCCATACCATGCATGCTTTTCCATACCATCCATGCCATGCCATGCCATGCATGCCATGCCAGTACATAGGGCACGACACAAGGGCATTCATGGTATCAACATGATGCATCGTGACTGACATTGTTGAAAATGCACATGAGAGATCACGAAAGAACAAGTCAAGGCAATAATTTGCTTACCTTGGAGAGTGTGCACTGTGCACACACAGGGAAGAACTCAACAAGGATAAAACAAACATGTATGGAAAAGAAAAACAGCAGGAATGACAACCGAGCATATATGCAAGGATGTAGCACTTATAGAAGGATGTATGCAGCACTTATAGAAGGATGTAGCACTTATGGAAGGATGTTGCACTTATGGAAGGATGTGGCACTTATGGAAGGATGCAGCACTTATAGAAGGATGTAGCACTTATGGAAGGATGTTGCACTTATGGAAGGATGTAGCACTTATGGAAGGATGTAGCACTTATGGAAGGATGTAGCACTTATGGAAGGATGTAGCACTTATGGAAGGATGTAGCACTTATGGAAGGAGGTAGCACTTATGGAAGGATGTAGCACTTATGGAAGGAGGTGGACCAAATGGTCCTACATCAAGGAAAGAGCAGCTCGCCTTGGCAGATTTCATTGTTGGCAGGCTGAAAGGATCCAGGAAGGGGCACGAGCGTTCTGTTGTGCAGCAGGGCGAGGGCGAGGAGAGACGCCATGCTGTGCAGCTGAGAGGGGGACGAGGGAGGGGTGATGAGCGGAGGGTGATGATGAGCGGAGGGTGATGATGAGCGGAGGGTGATGATGAGCGGAGGGTGATGATGAGCGGAGGGTGATGATGAGCGGAGGGTGATGATGAGCGGAGGGTGATGATGAGCGGAGGGTGATGATGAGCGGAGGGTGATGATGAGCGGAGGGTGATGATGAGCGGAGGGTGATGATGAGCGGAGGGTGATGATGAGCGGGGGGTGATGATGAGCGGAGGGTGATGATGAGCGGAGGGTGATGATGAGCGGAGGGTGATGATGAGCGGAGGGTGCTGATGAGCGGAGGGTGATGATGAGCGGAGGGTGATGATGAGCGGAGGGTGATGATGAGCGGAGGGTGATGATGAGCGGGGGGTGATGATGGGAGTGGGGGGGCGGGAGGGGAGTGATAAGAGAGGGGGGCGAGGGGAATCATAAGAGTTAGTTTTTTTAGAATTCTTAAAAAACCAGCCCGGCAGCAGCAGCAGCAGCAGCAGCCACAGCAGCAGCAGCCGCAGCAGCATCATCAGTCATCCAAGCAACATATCCCAGCTCAAGGATCCCACTGGCAGCAACCCCGGCCCTCGTCATCTACTCATCTGCCTTATACCTCTACCAACCGACCCTTCAACCAGTCAACATCCGGATTCTGGGGAAATCAGTGGCAGTATGGTCACCCGCCCATGGAATCAGGATACTTCCAAGGCCCAAAAAACAGATTTGGGAGGGGGAGGGGGAGGGGGAGGGGGAGGGGGAGGGGGAGGGGGAGAGGTTGGGGACGAGGAGGGAGGGAGACGAGACGGGAGAGCAGACGGCAACAGAGGAGGAACCTTGCGAGGCAGAGGCAATCCTTGGGGGAGAAGCTAGGACGGCTTAGTGAACATGACCTGGCCCTCTTCTACTTTGGTCGGATGACAGAGTCCCAACTCAAAAGGAGAGTGCGGAACTACAGCATCTTCAATCTGAGCAGCCGGAAACTGACCAGAGACGAGGAGAAACTCTTAGGTTTCGGGCTGAATTTTGTTCGAACACCTACACCTGTACAGTACACGACGGATGAGGAGGTCTTTCAGGCTTGTGATGCCTTTAGCAGAAACCTGAGACTGAGAATCGTCCTTGGAGAGTCACAACCCATGAGAGTCACAACCCATGAAGGGGTTCTGCATTCCTAACCTTTCGTGGGACGTTCCTCTAGACAACTGTCTTGAAGTATTTTGAGTCGACTCAAAATACACCTGGACAAGCTGACACACGGTGTATTCAAAGGGAGACGTGCTTTGATAGCATGGAAACTACCGAAGAAGATCAAGGATTTTATAGTCGCGGCTAAGAAATACTAGATTAGTGTTTCATTTTGTTACACTGATCTAGTTTATAGCCGGGCTTCAGGACCCCTTCTCGGGGTTGGCGTGGACCCTCGAGAATTTCTCGGGTCGCGCTTTTCCTACATATATAGCTCGAATGCCTAGGATGATCAGCAGATGCTGATGAAGGCTTTTTCAAGCCGAAACTAGTTCATCCTAGTTTTAATCAAACCTACTGTTCATTCTTTTAAGCTCGAGCTCAAATTCAGAACCGCTGCCTCGCAACGCATTTTACCATCATGGTTAACCCTGCTAAGTATGGGACCCTTGGTCTCACTCCTTACAAGGCTGCTGCGCTGGCCGGTTCGACGAACACTACAACACCAATTTCTGCTCCTACTGGACCGGGACAACTGCCCGAACTTCCCGCTAACATTGAGCAGATTGTATTTGGTGAAAATGATTCGACTACTTCCGTCCAACCCAACAAGAAGCGTGCCTGTCCTACAGTGCCAGCTCCTGGGGAAACGGCTACCGTGCCGATTAACGACGTTCCTAAGGAATAACCTACCAAGGATTCCGCTCCCGAGGATGTCGTTATGACGGATTCTTTCTCCTTTCTTGGAGAAGTCGACCATTCAATTCTGGACAAGCATCCGATTCCTTCCTGCTTTAGCGACTTCAAGAATCAAGCTATTGCGGATTTTAAGAAAAACTACGCTAAACACCGGAGCTTATCCCAGCAACATGCTATAATGGAAGAGCAGGTCAAGTCCGGCAATATTCCTCCCAGTATTCGTATCAAGTCATTCGACTTCATCGTCCCCTTCGAGGATATTAAGGCTGAAGCCAACAATGAGCTTCATGCTGCTTGCAAGGCCTATCTTGCGAATGTCCAAGGGATTATGGTACGAATGAAGAAGAAAGCCGCTGACAAAGCTCTCAATGACGCCAGTGCCGTCAACCTTTGGCTTCAAGATAAGTTGTCCAACTACATCGACTTAACCAAGGCCAGCGCGCTCGGCGATAAGCATCCGAAGCTCATCGAAAATCTGAATTTCTACAAGGATAAGATTCTGGCCGATTTTCAGAGTTCGATGTCGATGTACCTTGCTGACGCCCTGATGGCAGAAGTTCACCAGACCGAAAAGACCAAAGAGGTCAATGCTAAGAAGAAAGCAGCTGCGTCTGAAGCTGAGACCTTGCCGGTTGACAAGTCGATTCGCGAAATCGTCAAGCAGGAAGCTGACAAGATTTTCGCCAAGAAGTTTGTTTCTCAGCCGAAGCTGCAGAAGAAATCTTTCACTCTTGCTCCGACTAAGAAGCAGAGCGAATCTTCTGTCACTTCCAACAAACGTCCTCCTAAGACCAACAACGGACAGCAGCAGAAGCGTCCGCTCGACAAGGGAAAGAAGCATGTCGACGGTTCCTCTGGAGGGTCTAATGTCGCTTCCTCGTCTAAGGCTCCTTTCTCCTTTGGAGGGTCGAACTTCGCTTCCTCGTCTAAAGCTCCTTTTGGCAGGAACATTAACCCCAAGCAGAGGCAGACGCAGCAGAAGCAGAAGCAGAATCAGAAGCAGAACCCCCAGCCAAAAAACGGTGGAAAAAACGGCGGCGGAAACGACCGCGGAAAGGGGAAGAAGCAGTAGTCGTCGATGTGCATCAGTACGCGTTGATTCTCTTTGGTCGAAAGACAGAGAGTCAAGTACGGTGCCGCATCAGCAACCGAGACTACCACAACCTCTCCCGTCATCAATTCTCGACAACCGAAGCGAAAATTTTGGGTCTCGGTCTCAATTTCATTCCTGTTCCAACCGCTCGGCCTGTTAACACATTTACTGCAGAGTTAGATGATTTCTGTAGGGACATTCGTACTACCATCCTGTTCAACGGAGTTGCTATGAAACCTGATTTTCCTGGTTACAAGCTTCCAAAAAGGCTGAACTGGGATCCTCCACTGGCACCCGTTGAAGTTGAAACCGCGCTTTCGCTCTTCAAGCAAGCAGCGATGAAAGCAGTTTCTGAACAACATTCCACTTCACGACCCAGAAACAGGTCCAAGCTTCTACCTGCTCTTCGGCGCTTGGCTCATGACCGGCATTTGGTTTTTAAGCCCGCCGACAAGAACCTTGGTTTGGCTGTCATGGACAGAGATTTCTATAAGGGCATGTGCTTTAAGCATCTCTTGGACACGCAGGTTTACCGCGAATACCAAGAGGTTCCGATCCTGGACATCCTGAAAGAATTCTCAGGCATCCAGGCAGATTATCAACCACTGCTTAAGGCGAAGATCTGGAAGTCTTTTCTCACACCGCCCGCCGGAGGATGGAAGGTTCCGGCTCTCTATACCGTTCCAAAGTGCACAACAAAGTGATCGCAGGACGACCCATAGCAGCTTCACACTCGTGGGTCACCTCTAATGTCTCTCGATGGCTGGATGCGGTTCTCCGTCCTTTGGTGACCCGTCAACCGACTTTCTTGAAGGACTCACAAAGTCTGTTGCTCCTGCTGGAATCTAGAAGATTACCGCCTAATCTTCTGCTGGCTTCTTATGACGTGGAAGCCCTTTACCCGTCGATCCCACTTTGGGACGGTATTGACGTAGTGGATTTCTTTCTCCGACGATACAGGCACCCTTTGGGTCCTCTCATCGTCCGCCTTCTACGCTGGGTTTTGTTCAACAGCTATGTGACTTTCGAGGGCAGGTTTTTTCGCCAGATCCAGGGCACTGCTATGGGGACTTCCACAGTAGTCTGCTTCACTGTCTTATTCCTAAGCTTTCTGGATCTGAAGTTGCAGAGAATCGTCAGTCGCTCCCCAGCGCTTCACCTTCGATATATCGATGATGGCCTAATCCTTTGGGACGGCCCTCCCTCTGAATTTGAGGATTTCAAGCTTCAATTTGGAAAGCTACACCCCTCTATCAAGCTGACCTGGGTCGTCTCTCAGGATTCAGTTGATTTCCTCGATATAACTTTCTTCAAAGGCAGCAGGTTTGCGAAGGACAGGTTACTTACTGGATGTGAAACTTTTCCAGAAACCGATGAACCGATACATGTACCTGCCGTACCAGTCCTACCACACACGGAGCTGCAAAGTCAGCTTCATCACTAGCGAGCTTCGGCGAATACTTCTCCGTTCTGCGAACCTGGCTGACTACCAAACAGTTCGAGCCCTGTTCTTTGCTCGCCTTCGTGCCCGGGGTTACCCGGAACATTTCCTGTTGCGAATCTTCAAGCGTGTCAGTTTTTCTGACCGCTCGGTACTCCTCCAACGCGCCGCAGCTCTGCGGACCAAGTCTGACCGTGGCCCCTTGGTCTTGAAGTGCCTCCTCAACCCTCTTGTGGAGCGTTCTGACCTTGGGCCGATTTTGAGTCGACTCAAAATACACCTGGACAAGCTGACACACGGCGTATTCAAAGGGAGATGTGCTTTGATAGCATGGAAACTACCGAAGAAGATCAAGGATTTTATAGTCGCGGCTAAGAAATGCTAGATTAGTGTTTCATTTTGTTACACTGATCTAGTTTATAGCCGGGCTTCAGGACCCCTTCTCGGGGTTGGCGTGGACCCTCGAGAATTTCTCGGGTCGCGCTTTTCCTACATATACAGCTCGAATGCCTAGGATGATCAGCAGTTGCTGATGAAGGCCATTTCAAGCCGAAACTAGTTCATCCT